CCCAGCCGGTGGCACTGGGGAGCGGGACAATGCGTCTCCATGCCTTGCCCAGGCCCGTAAACACGGTCCCTTTACAGGGGTGTCATGGGAGGCTGGGGGGCTGGAGGAGAGCCCAGCATCATGATGGCTTTGACCAGGACCGAGGATGGACTGTGTGTGCGTGTTGTGTGTGTGTGTGCGTGTGTGTGTGTCACTGCCCGTGGGAGGGTGCCTCCCGGCCCTGCTGCTCACGGTGGCCCGTGGGGGCCGGGCTGGCTCTGAGGAGAGGCTGACTCAGTGTGCAAACAAGAGCAAGACCGCAGGAAGGCCGGGCGGCAGCGCGCCGGGAGGGAAAAGCGACACAAGGGGATATTCATTCCTCCTCCCTCCTGACCTGCCTCATGCTGCAGGGCTGGATGTGAGAGGAGGCCGGGTGCTCGGAGCGCAGCCAGACCCTGGAGCACAGAGGCCGGCTGAGAGAAGCCCTGCATGATCTTCTCCTCAAGACCAGGGGGCTCAAACTCCCATCCCGGGGCTTACGAGCTTTTCCATAATCCGACCTGCGCACGGCTGCTGGCATGTGAGTCCCTGCGGCCGTGGGGGGTTGGTCATGCCTTTCCCTCAGTCCTGTCCCTGCTCTGCCTCCCTCGCCTCTTCCTGCCCCTGCTCCGCCCTCTCCCCCCCATTACACCCCTTCCCTCAAGTTCCCTACCCGCAAATCCATCTTTCCTCCTCTCCCCACCCTGCCCTCCTCCGAATTGCCTCCTCCCTCCATCTCCGTCTCATCCCACTGTCCTTCAGGATCTCTAGGATGCTACTTGTCACCCCTCAGCAGGGCTGTGTCCCAAAGCCCAAGGGGTTTAGGAGCATGCCCCCCCACTGGGCTTTCAGTAGGACGTGTGCATCTGTTGCCCTCAGAACACTTTGGCAAGTCCTCTCTGCCATGCTGGGCGCGTTCACAAACCTGTAACTTCGCCCAGTGTTAACATGCAACTTGCGCCCCCTACACTGAGGTTTCAAGACTCACGTGGAAAATCCCCCTTTTAGCCAAGGCTAGCCCAAGCTGAAGAGACAGTGTGGCCCAGTGGGTAGGGCACTGGACAGGGAGTCAGGATTCCTGGGCTCTATTTCCAGCTTTGACCTGGCGTGTGGCCTTGGGCAAATCACTGCACCTCTCTGGGGGTGTGTCTAGACTACATGCCTCCTTCGACGG